ACTAAATTTCTAATACAATGATGGATTATTAGATCCCATTTAATTATTTGATTCATATTTATTTGAAAGATAGCAAAGTATTGATATACTTCAGAATTGTCAAATTTTTAATCATTCTTTCTAGTTTTATATGCTAATATAAAATTATTTGAACTAGCACGCATATCATAAACTTTCAGTCAAATTTAAATTTTCTGGACTAAATACCAATTTCATCTAATAGATATAAATATCCTACACGATGTATGAGTGTAACAAATAACATTCATCAATAGCTTTTTGAATAACCATGATACCGACTTTTTTGCGTTGCCTCAATTTCGAAATTTAAATAAATAAAACATAAATATATATTTTTTGCGACAGCATTAATATTTAGGAGATTCGGTGTAAAATCCGCCATATCGTGTATCAAATACTGCATTCAGACCCCCTTTTGTAACAGTGCTCGTCCTATTATTTCATGCGCATATTCTCGATCAAACAACCCTGACAATATTCGCCAAAACTGCCACAGCAAACGTCCCCATTTCTCGTGATTAAATCAAAACAGATTCCTGTCACGGTTTATATATAGTGAACCTGTTGAGCGTTAAATCGTTAATTCCAAACATCGTTATTTCTCACAGTGCGTTATTCGTTACTGTGTTCCGCAAAAATATTTAGCCGCCGCGCAATGGTCAGATGACACCTGCAAATTGTTTGTCGTATCGATTGTTATACTTATAAAAATAATCTCTTACGACCTTTCATGCAAGATTAATTGGTAAAAATACAGCTTTACATAAAATTCATTGATTTTCTTCCATTTTTATACCTTTTATACGTCTTCAACTAATACTTTTTAATTGAATCTACCAGAATAGAGGTGTTTTGAAAATGATTAAAAAGTAAGCTTCTGCTATCTATTTATATCCTTGAAATTTCGTTCAGATTCATTAATTATTATTTACTTATAACTTAGAAATCGTGGACGCCTGATATAATAATAATGAGATTGATCAATTTCTATTTAGGAACTTTCGTATTCCTAAACTTTTCGTTTAGGAACTTTCACCTCGCACGAATTTGCTTTTATGAAGTTTGTCAGATATGGAGACGTGCGTCAAGCGGGAGACCAAGATAACGAGGGGTTTTTGATCGACACGTACGTATCCAGGTATGCGGGGCAAAGCCGAACGGTTTACAAACGGACTTGCAAAATACGGCGAGACATGTCCGTTTGCGTTAACGCGTCTCTATATTGAGCTGGTTGCGGCTCGCCGGCGGCGTGAGCGAGCCGATCGATTGTGCCGAATATCGGCTCGCCTTCAGGTTGCGAGCACAGCTGCGTCCGTGGTGTCCTGTGATTCGCACGAAAAGCTATTATCCGCGGATAGATGTGTGCAAATGTCGGCGACTGCAATTTGGATTCGTGCGCGGCGGCGACAGGTCTTTCGCACGCGCTACGCCGTCACTATTTATGAAACGTTCAAACCTATACGATTCTTCATATTCGCGGTTTTCGTTGAATGTCTGTTTGTTGAGTTTCACTGTGTTTTAAAAAGATAGAAACATTTTTGCGGTGGAAATACGCGATTTTTATCCTTGTCCAATTTTTTCTCCCAATATTGATTCGATTTTCACTTTGAAATTTGAACGGGCAAAGGAACGATATATAACTTTTAAGCTAGTACTTTGTACTGGTCGCATCTTTCTATTTTATTAAATTATAAATATTAAATAAAACCAAATATAATAATCGCATTTAATAACTCCAAATAATTTGATATAATTTACGAGACTTTTTAATCGCCTTATTTCTGATTAATTAAATTGTAGAAATTATTGTGTAAATGCGGATATCATATGTGTTTATCCTCCGCGAGATATTTCCTCGTCATCATTCGGAAAAGCTGTCATTGCGAAATTGCGGCCTGGAATTACAATTGTACTCACAACCGGTTGTGTCCGTGTATTACGTATCATCGCGCTTAATGGCTTTCCCTTCGAATTGCACGAATCGCGAAGTAGGATTGTTATTGCGCTTTCTGTGCGATTACAATAGATTAACTGTTGATAATACCGTGATTAGGTGTTGTTCGATGCGTAAAGACAAAACGATGTATAAATGGTATCATAGGGAGACATATATTTGTCAAATTAGCTCGCGATCGACAAAAGCTTTGTCTTTACGAATCATATAATTGTGTGATATAATTAACAAGCGATATATTATATTGCACAATTATACAATTCGTAAAAACAAACGCATCTACTAAAATAGGTAAAAAACTTGAGAAATGTCTTGAAAACATTCGTAAGCTATGTTATTAAATATAATGATGAAAATTATATAATGATAAAATGTTATTAAATATAATGATAAAAATTGAAAAATTCTATTTTACGTAATAAATAATCGAATGAGCTTCAATTGAAATTATAGTTATCTATTACGAGACAATGAATTTAAACGTATAAATAATATATAGTGATATATGTTGTGATTATGTAAGTGATTATGTAAGTATTATTAATTATATAATGATTGCCGCGTTTTACGCGGCAATGTTGAAAATCACGAAACAGTTATTTTGTGGAGTACAGGATTTTATTTAATTTAAATTTTGACTCAATGTTGATTATTGCCTGATTTATATCGATGAATGATCGCGAACATATCATCTTAAATTTCAATTCGCTTATGAAATAAAATCTTAAAAATAGCTTGTATATCTATTTTTAGCTAATAATACGAGCAGCCAAACACACGTGTAATTATATATAATTCGCAGTTTTACGATATTGAACGAACTACATGACGAAACTAGAACCACTGGACCGCCCGTAAATTCACTATGACTATGGTGTGGTCGTCACGTCGGGAATTTCGTGTTATTAAATAAATGCATTAATTGTTCTAAATATTAGCACGTGTTAATATTTGATTACGGTATAACGACGCAAAATTCGCGAGGCTGACGAATATGTATTATATTATGAATAGTAGAAAATGAGCCACGAATCGGTTAAATTATTATTATTGCAGAAACATTCGCGAAAAAACTTATTCTCGGTCTAATTATAACTAAATGTATAACTTGTTAAAAAAAATCTTTATATAATTTTTCAAATTTATTAATAATTGATTTAATTAGAAAACTGTCAAACATTAAGAATCCTCTATGGTGGTTTTTGTTGCTGAAATTCCGATTGTCCCGAAAAATCTCTCGGAATGCGTTTTAATTTATTATGTTCACAAAAACATAACCGATAAATTTCTTCGGTAACCCTTGCCGCGTCTCTGTGTCATAACGGAGAAACGGCGAGAACTCGGACGCATATTATAGAGGAAACGAAGCGTCTGAATGCGCAACGAATAATTAAACGTCAATCGCACGCCTACTCGTCGAGCGCAGGCTTAGAGCCGTTGCTGCCTCTGTCTCTCTCATCTCCGCTCATTTACCTGGCTATTTACCTAACGCATATGCTGTGTACGTCGTAGCAGTAGCTATTACATAACGGTTGATATAACTGTAAGCCGTCACCCATTTAGAGCAACGGTTGTGGCTGCATCGACAACCTCCGAGTGATGCGGAGGCACCACATTGACAAATGCATTGTATAATACGATACGAGATCGGATGATACGAGATTGCTGTAACGATAATAAGTTGAAACGATGTTATTAGCAATATAATGATATATTATTAAAACTTGTCGGAATCTACATCCGTTATCCTTTCCTTTTTAATCAAAAGCGCATGATGCACGATGTAATCACGGATTTTTTTGAATTCTCAGAATAAATTTCATATATGTGGGTGTACGCAGACAGAAAGAAAAATACATAATTCATTGAAAATGTAAATGTGAGCGATACGTGGAACGTCACAGTGAAATAGGCACAAAGATAAAAGACCGTGGTGTAAAGTGACAATGGACGAGGAGGGTAAACACAACGCGTAAGTGAGAGAGAATATAGACGAAGAGGAAGTGGCGCGTGAAAGGATGACAAAGAGAGATGGAGTTGCGCGGAGAGTGGTAAAAGATTAATGGTGTCGCAGCCCCGGTTACTGATTAACTCCGGATCCTATCAAAGTACCTCGCGATTCGTTAATCTCTCGATTACCATCACGCCAGGCTTGCCAAACCTGTTGCACTCCTCAGCGATTATTCTGCGTAATATCGTCGTCTTTCCCAGAAATATTATTGTTCTTATTAAAATTAGTTAGCTATTGTTAGAGAGAACTCTTGATCTTTCGCTCTACTGCAAGCAAAATCCCCCTTGACATTTAAATATGTATCACGTCATGTAATACATCCCGCTCTCTTGAAATTTTTATTAAATTCCTTATAAATAGTTTTTCTTTTATTTGAATTTCTTCTCAACAGTATCGATAATATATAAAGGTGAAATGATGATACTATTATAAGGATATAAGATTGAAAAATATTAACGGATAATATAAATAGATAAAAAAATTATTCCTAATGTAATGAAAGATATACTGACAGCGTTAATTTCTAATCAGAATAAAAATATAAATTATATAATAAAATAAAATAAACAAGTTAAGTATTTTTTATTTCGAAAAAGCCGCACACTTCAAAAAACTTTGTAATTCGTAGTAAATTCTTCTAACATCAATAAAAGTTTTTTAAAAGTACCGATTGTGTGTGACAAATGTAAAAGAAAATGGTGCGATTTATTTGAAACGTTAACGCTTGCACATTGTACTGATGCGTCAATAATGTCAGGAATTTCAATATAACTCCTAGTTACAACGAAAAGTCGATATTCAAGACTGTAGAGATGGCATAAAGCATTATTATCATTGTTTGCGCGATAATAAGTATTAAGCGATATAAATCAGCAATATCAGTTGGGGAACTGTGACCGATCGATAGAAGTTTGACTGTAGAGCGAATTCAAAGACACTCCTTGAATCTCAAGTTTCAAGCACATCGAAGGTACTTCAATCAGTAGTAATTAGTATCATCTAATTTATACTCACTTCTGTGTCCTTTGTCCATAACCGGATCTCTCCTCAGCTTTACCCTCCTCTTCGGATTCATCCGTGGAGCTGAAAGATGCAAAATATATGACAACTTTAAAAAACTCGGTATCAATAATTTCAATTAACTCTAATTAATCGTCAGTTCTCGTATTTCTAAGAATATTTAAAAGAAGTAAATCAAAAGTAAATCAGAAAATAAATAAAGTTCAACACTTTAAAACTTTTCGGGAAAGAGAAATTTATCAATATAAGGCTGACTTCACAGAAATCAAAACAGCTGTAATTTATAGATTTAATTTAAAAAGATAATTCGCGCGCGCGTGAAATATAGAAAAAGTGTGCAGAGAAAACCAACATATTTTTTCTAATTAAAAATTGAATGCTTACGACTCGGTAAAATTAACTTGGGATATTTCCGTAAAATATAAAGTATAAAACGGATAAAAAGAGCAGGATAGTCATAAAACTAGGCATGATTTCAGCAATCATATGCTGCTTGAGTTAGTTTATAGTTTATAACATGACAGATTGAAAGAGAAATAAAATTTCTCCTAACGCTGTCAATCATCGTTTCGGATTGCAGCAATATGTGAAACGACTGATAGATATTACGCCCACGTAATATCTATCAATCGTTTCACATACGCCGATAAAAATCGCTTGGTATTTTTGCAAGGAAAACAAGCTTAACTGAAGTTATTGCATTTTATGCGGGAGTGGAAAACTCGACGCTTATAACACACCCGCCAATGGCGAGCTATAAAAGGATCGCGAAACGAAACGAATTGAATTACGGTCAAGATTTTCGAACAATTCCTTTTTTATAATGCGCCCCGGCGATTTCTGCTCGATGTAGCGTAAAGGCGATTTTAGTACAACCCCGATTACATCCCTTCTACACGTTCAAGCCCAACATATCACGACGATCGCTTCGGAAAGTTGATGATCCGCGAGCAAATTCGAGATGAAACCTATCGATGTGACGAAGTGAAAGCGATAAGTTTTTAAATGTGTGAAACGTAGATAGATTTGTTGAAAAGACAGAAGCAGTGAGAAGAAAGTAATATTTGTTACATTGTATACAATGATTCACAAAACTGATCACACAAATCATATCATTGTTCTTTTTCGAAAATTTATAAACGAAGATATTTGTAGCACGATCATAAATATTTGTTTGCTTATGTGTTATGTTGATTTTGAAAGATTTTCATCGGTTTCCATTTTTTAATTAATTAATTATAGATAATTGTTGTGTAGAAAGTTTTTAATTTATATTTATTTTTTACTTAAGAATCTATTTAAGATTATTCTGTATATCTGTATATACAGAATGAATGAAATAGAAAAATATATATCTATACATTATCTTCTTTACTTAATTTTATCAAAAGATATAATATAATTATCGTTAGGTATAATATAATAAAATTTAATTTATTTGGACTAATAAATGCATAAATAATTAATATTTAAAAAATTGGTCATATATTTTTTAAATTATAGTTTTTATGTATGTATTAAAAAATACATGCACAATCAGAAATTAATAAGTTTACAGTTTATATTTCTGTTTCAAATTATTCTGAGCTATAAGAAACATAATTCTATACAAAGCATATAAATAAATAAAAATTTATATTATACGAAACATTATCAAGCTGTGTTGTAGAGAATCTCCCTTAAGATATGAAAATTTCTTTCTATTATAATTTAAATAATTGACACTTCGTCAAATAATCTGCTTCGTGGACTACTTATCGTTCTCATGATTATAAAACTTCTATTGTTTTTTTATATTTTGGGTTAAATATTATCATTATCGTCATCCAAAAGCTATTGTTTAATATAGCAAACGGACATTAAATTATTTCGCATAATTGCACCTATTTTTGAATAAATAGTAATTTCTAAAATAAATGTTTCTGTTAATGCTTCGGGTGAACTTGTCGCAACACGAGTGATCGACTTTAAAATAAAATTTACACTACGAATATGCAGGCTTTAAGTAACTTTTAAACTGGGGTCCCATACGGCATGTGGTCCGTCACGACACGTGGCTTACTTATGCCTGTCAACAAATCGGCTCACGAATTAGCAAGCAACGAACTATAACAAGCCGCAAAGGTCCCATGGCGCGTTTAGCTCGTTTAGTTTAGACTCATATAGGCTTGTAGTCTTCAGCTCATCAGTTTGAAATGGATAGCCAACGAGAAAAGATCGTGGTCTGTGCAGCAATAATACATCTCTTTTCTTTTTTAATTATTTAATTAAAACATTTAATATTGTTTCCATTCTTTTCCAAGAATCGCTTATAGCGTTCTTATGTCTTTATGAGAAAGAATGCTTCAAGTTCCACAATAATTCTTCTTTCTCGTGTGCTTCTAAAAATTTAAGGTTTTCTCATTCGACCACTCTCCATGAGTTAACATACGAGTTAACAATTGAATCACGTTTTTGGTTTTTATGGATTTCATCTCCACAGCTTCATTTTTAATCTTACGTTCTCGAGACTACTTGGTGAGTTTTTTCTTTTTTTAATTGTTTTTTATTTTCAATTTTTAATTTTCATGTGTCAGGTTTATCCTGATTACAGATCATCAAGTAATGAATTTCAATGTCAACTTTTTTATCCACATGGCTTTTTGACCACGCTATAAAATGCTGACTTAACAAACGTTAAAACTTAACTTTTATTTATCATTTGACACCGCTGAGAATGGCTCAAAGCCATTTCCCGGACCTCCGTTTTACGTTTTAATATATATAGTTATAATCGTAACTAAATATTGTGACTACTTACACATCAACAATCGCGTTATTCTCTCATTGCTCATTTTTACCCCACTTTAATTATCGAGAGTCCTATTCTTATTCTGCCATAACAATTTGAATCACGTTTGCCTAGACGTGTATAACATATATGTTTCGACAAGCCTACGCAAGTCGACGAATCGAGCGGATCAACGACACGCTATTGGTGTGGTCAATGGCTCAATAAGTTTTGACTCCGATAATATTTAACCCAAAATGTCAGAGAGCAATAGAGATTTCACAATTATGAGAACGATAGAAGTAGTCCACGAAGCAGATCATTTAACGAAGTTTAAATTACAATAAAAGGAAATAAAAATTTCATATCCTAAAGAAGATTTCTCTATTTATCGACTCTCAAACGGAACGGCGTGCCGTGAACCGCGAGTCGCGAGCATTAGCAACCTATCCTAGTCCTGGACGACGCGTGGCTCGGGATGATTTGGTGTAATTTGCCAAGGCCAAGCCTCTACGCGTCGTGGGACCCCGGTCCCAGCTTATAATATAGCATATCCTGCTTCAAAAGAATAACATAGTATGTATTGGTGTGTTATACACACGCAAAGCAAGAGATAATCGAGCGATGATATATGGGAAGGAAGCACTTTCACAGTCGGTTTATAAACATCAAGGAGTGAACACGACTTCATAATAGAGGCGACAAATCATGGGGTTGCTTAATAGACTGATCGCTGTTTTGGATATCAAGATACTATTTTTAAAAGTAAACGCAATTCCACTTGTTGACGACCCTTCGTCGTTCCAGTTGGAACTGAAGAAAGACGACGCTGTAGAGACATTCAATAATTCAATAAGGTGCAATGAAAGGTCAGGTGGTTTATATTTGTTATTATACTCTATTTACATATCACGTATCAATTTCTAAGGTAATTTCTTCGAAATACCTTGCAAATTAGGCGTTTATATATTATATATTAATACGTATATTAATTTTGCTAATTTTATTACAGTCGAAAGGTATCACGATTAGTTCACAATTATACGGAAACATATAGATATAAACCAGAACATGCTATGCCTGGGGCACCCTATCAACTTAAGACTCGAGTGAATTTTAAGAAAAAGGTAAATCAAGTTGATAAGTAACGCGATGATATTCGACAAAGAAATAAAGAAAAAATAAGAGAGAGAACAATTTTCGTATAAATTAGCAATCTTTTCGTTTCATTTTTATTTTGCAAACGAATTATCAATCTCTTGTTTGCTTATGCTATACAACTATAATCGGCTAATTTGCCAATTACGAGTATTACAGTTTCACACGGAGTTGACATGTTGCGAAGGCTACGTGCAATTCGGTGCAATGTGCGTACCGCGTTGCCCGCAATCGTGCCAAAATGGTACTTGCAAGGAGCCGGACGTGTGCATCTGCAACACAGGATACCGCATGTCGAGCAACGACTCGTGCGTGTCGGCGTGCACAAACGATTGCATCAACGGTACCTGTGTCGATCCTGGGGTTTGCATTTGCAACGAGGACTATATTGGTTGGACTCGGACGGATTCACCTGCCGACCCGTTTGCCCCGCGCAATGCGAGGAGAATCACGGATACTGCACTGAGCCGAACGTGTGCACGTGTCGTCCCAATTACAGGAAACACAAGAGATTCGGCCACGTCTTTAAGTTCATGTGCGAGCCCATTTGCGATCCTGAGTGCAAGAACGGTCTTTGTATCGCTCCTAACGTCTGCATGTGCGCGGACGGCTACGAAAAGGACGAGGACGATTCGTTTATCTGCAACGCCATTTGCGACGAGCCGTGCGTTTTTGGGAAGTGCATAGTGCCGGAAATAAACTGGTGCCTATGCAAACCCGGTTACAAACACGCGAACGCAACCGTCTGCGAACCGGACTGCAGCGAGCCCTGCAAAATGGGCACGTGCGTGGCGCCGCAAACATGCAACTGCAATGAAGGTTACAGACAAAGTAACAACTCCAAACATATATGTGAGCCGATCTGCGAAAATGATATGTGCGGTAGCGGCATATGCGTCGCGCCCGCAACATGCTTACATATGAAAATCAAACAGTGTCCAATACATCTGACGTTTTATCTAACTCGACTCAAAGCAAACCGATCTGCACGATACCTTGCGGACCTAACGGAGAATGCACATCGCCCAATGAATGCACTTGCTTCGAAGGGTATCGCTCACACGCACAGTCAATTATAACAGAGCTGTATGAAAAATTTTCGAAAACACCGTTTCCCGAATTGGCAAGTATATAT